GTCAGGCAGAGCATGGAGTCACAGAGCGAGCCAGGTTAGGTAACTAAGAGATCAAGTGAAGAGCAGGTAGATGCACAAGCCATAAAGAACAGCAAGGTAATTTTAGTCAGAGTTGAGCCCTGTTGCCCAGATGCTGCCTCTTTGGGGTCAGGGGAGGAGAATGATGGGTTAGCTGATCCTGGCTAGCCATTCTAGGGAGTGGGCTGAAGGTTAGATCCAAATGGAGGTTTCTGGCTAACTTGCTCTGCTTGTATGGTCAAGTGGGGAGGAGGCGGCAGACTGGGATGAGTGGCCATTCTGGGAAGACTGAGACTCCAGGTTTGAGGCCACAGCCTAACACTGCAGAAAGAAGCATCAGGACTGATTTGGTGAGAATGACAAGAAAACTTAAACTCTCATTGACAGAGAAAGGGGAGCCCTCAAAGCTTGGCAGAATGATATTAACTCCAAGCAGAAGCAAGACACTTATTGTCACATTAAAGCCAAGACCCAAAGGAAAATTTAAGAGCAAAAGAACCAGTGGTGAGAGGACAAAACAAAAGAGATTTGAAAGCTTGCTGACAGCTTCAACAGGCATAGTTTCTTCAGCACAAACAAAACTATGAGCCAAACACACAAGGAGCCATTGCTCTGAGATCCAAGGATGGAACAACACTCTTTAAAGACAGCACCACCATCAATGCACAGGACAAGTACTTTCAAGAGCTCCTGAATCAAGATTCTAATGTTGGAGGCAATGCAATCAAAGCCATTCCATAACACCCCATTAAGCTGACCTTGCAGACCCACCAACTTTCAAGAGGCCTTGAAAGCCATTAAGCATATGAAGAACAACAAAGCACATGGCCTTTATGGAATACCAGCTGAAATTTATAAGCAATGTGGAAAAAAAGCTTTCTCATCCACTATATACAGTTCTCATGAAAATCTGGAAATGTGAACAGATTCCTAATAACTTGATGCCAGAATCTTTACCATATTCAAGAAATAAGATGTATCACAGTGCAGCAGTTACCATGGTATTGCACTCTTGTCCTTAGCTGGGACAATCCTCACCCACATTTTTCTCAGTAGACTCAATTCCCTCACTGAAGAGATTTTACCCAAGTCCCAACATAGTTTCAGACCACTCAGAGTTAGTCGATATGATCTTTGTTGCTAGATAGTTGCAGAAGTGCAGCAAGCAATGCTAAGATCTTTACATGGCCTTCATTGTCCTTGAATCTCTTCGGGTCACCTTAAAGGCCCATCTGAAGAAATGTGATACTAACATTAATACCTCAGAGACTCAAGCATTGAGTTATCCCTAGTGGTGCTGTGATGTACATCAAGGCATCAGCCATTTTGAGCAAACTCACCTCTCTCTGGAGGTGGATAGATGAGACACAAAGGGAAAGACCTGTGACTTGACATCACTAGCTTCTGCTCTTTCCTCCCAGAACTATTTGCCATGTCTGTAGCTGAACATGCAGATCTTGGACTGTCCTCAGTTGTCTATGGACTCACTGATGGAAGACTGTCACCCTCATATTGAGGGACTGCTGATGACACTGGTGATGATCCTTGGCATGCCTGTACAATGCTCATTACTCCTAAAGGCAGCTGTCAAAGGTATACCAACTTCACACAATTTGTGATATCCTCTGCACAAAGAACAGACTAGGTGAAAAGGATTCTGGCTTGCCTATAGAGGGAAGTTGTTGTATCAGTGTGAGTGTGAATTTAAAGTATTATGCTCCCCGATGGACACTTTTATTCCTGTTTGGCTTACAGGCAGTCCTCGAGTTACATTTCGAGTTACGTTTTGCACTTACATTTATAAATTGACACTGTTTCAACTTTATGATGTCAGTTTCAACTTTACAACGCTTGATCCGATGCAACGCCATGCCAGTGAACAAGTTTGCTGCGTTGCTCATCTCCCTGGAGAACATCTGTCCCAACTTCCTTGGACACTTTCTTTAAGAAAGCAGACAAGACTCCAGAAAAACCTGCAACCAAGACTCCTGAGAAGACTACAGCCAAGAGCCTTTCAAAAAGCCCAGCAAAGTCACCTCAGATAAGTCCTTCCAAATCAATATGATTGCTATTTACAATAGAAATACATTAATGTAGCTATATTACTCATCTATAATTGATCGAGTAAAAAATTCTGGAGTATTTTTGGTGAAAATAGGGTATCGGGCCTTGGCTCAGGAACCAGTCTCCCATTTATATTTCTTATGAGAAAACTGGTTCTGAGTTGCAACGTTTCGACTTAAGATGCAGTTTTCAGAAACCAATTGTGTTGTAAGTCCGAGGACTGCCTGTATATCATTTCGGAAGTAGTTGAATATAACAATTTACTGGGAGCATCTGCATGCTAATTAATGTGTCTTTACTACTGTGCATCAAGTTTAGTACCTCTGAGGTACTACATAAAGGGTGCATCTACACATTCATTAATGTGCAGTAGTTACTGTACATTTAATTTCGTACTTGTATAATCACGTACTAAATAAGTGCGCAGTAACCGGAGTTACTGCATGGTAGTGTCAGTGAATGTCTTTTTAGTGAGGCCACTGTGCAATAGCTTACTAATACTATGCAGTAGTGTATTAGAACTGTCTGTGATGTGACGTGCTACTGTACAGTATTATTAGGCTACTGCACAGTTAACATACCTTGGCTATGCACCCAAAGGTGCATTAACCCATGCTAATGTGCAGTAGCAAAGGCAAATGGTTGTTTTTTTATATGCTTAATGTGCAGTAGACATTCTACTGCACATTAGCACATCATTTCCTTATGTGCAGAACAGTCCACTGTGCATTAAGGCATGTTGTGTAGATGCACCCATTGAGAGGTAAATGCGACCAGGGATGCTACCTACTATAAGTGTTGGAAACTGAACAAATAGTACACTTAATCCTATACTCCTGCTCTTCAGTAGATGCAAAATGGTCAAGAGTGCAGATGCCCATGGGCCACTTCTGGCTATTTGCACTGTTAGGATATTTATTTTCATTTATTAAGGATTCTTGCTAAATGCCATGCTCCCAAAGATGACATAACAGACATAAATACATTTGAACAAAGTAACCAAACTACAAATATTATAACAGAGTAAACAAAGTCTCTGAGCTAGCTTCAGCCCTGTGTTGCACCACCTTGACACAGCATCTACTCAGAGGCAGGGCTGTGCTTGTGAACCGGACGGTTCAATGCTCTCTTACTAGAAGTGCCCACTGCTTCCCTGTAGCTGTTGCTGTGGGTGGGGAGAAATCCTGGCCAGGGCAATCACTGACTCCCAAAACAGAAAGAGAGGGGTTGGTTTCTGTGGAGGTCCTGCTGGGACTGAAAGCTGCTTTACCTTGCAGTGGCTCCCAGAAAGCTCAGTGAAAAGCCTGTTTTCTGGCCAGAGACTGAGTCCTCTGGGGCACAGCAGCCCTGCTAGAAGTGTACAGCAGTGTTGAAAGGACTGCACAGACTTTTTCTTCCAGAAAAAAAAATATATATAGATCAAGCAAAAGCTTTTCTTCACACACCTTAAGCCACATTGAAAGCCTGCAGCCGTTACAATAAATGCACCTGCAGACCCGCACTCCCATTCAGTCCTTTCCCTAACCCAAGCGCAGTCTCTGAGTCCTAGTCCTGCTGTTGGGGTTTATTCTCAGTTCCTCTCCTGTCGGTGTTGCTGTCACTGCCGCTCCTGCTTCCGCTGTCATCGTCCCTCAGATCGGCTTGCCGCTCACCTAGCAGCAGTTTCATTTTCCGCTCCACCCTCCGCCCCACAATGCCCCACCTCGCAGCGCCTGAGAGCTGGGGTCAGGGAAACCACAGAAGAAAGGTGGGGGTGGGTTGGCTGTCCGGCGCTCAACCCCCGCGGGCGGGGTGCCTGCCGGCAGCTTTCACTGCTGTTGGATTCGCCTGAAGCGGGTCCTTGAGGCCAGCCTGTGGGCTGTTGCCCCAGCAAGAGCACCGGCTCGCGGCCCCCGGGCTGTGCGGTACAAGCAGGATCCCTGCGGCCGCACGCTGGGGCGCGGGGAGGTGGTGGGGGAGAGCCTCGGAGCGGGACACCCGGCCTCGGTTGGGGCTGGGGCGCGAACGGGACGGCCCGCCCCTCCCTTCCCCCACGCGGGAAGCGGGGGCCCCCC